TGCGGTGACGCGGTTAACTAGAGTGTGAATTAAAAGAATTTCAAATTTCTCCATAAAAGTGGTATACTAAGGTAAAACTCCGGATTGACTACTAAGTCTGTAGTATAATTTATTTTCATAGTGCCTGCGTGTAGTGAGAAATAATGCATTCGTGTGCAGTTGGAGTGTGGCTCAGGTGTTGCTAAAGCATTCATGTAGATACACAGATACACCACGACTAATATAGAATTCGATATGCCTGAGAATAGGTGTATGGGCAGTGACTCAATGAGTGGAATATGCGCTACCAAATGTTGCCACCTGAGTAGGGATTTCGTTTAAAGTTACCGTTTTAATAAATATAAAAGAGTTTGGAGCTCATTCCATTCAAGTACTTGCTTTAATTTTATTTTCTCGTTTTTTTTTTTAAGTGCCATTTTCTCATAGTTTTGCAATTTCCACCTGAAACTAAGTATTTTTTTGTAACTTCTTATCCAACATGTGGCACTACTGCGATCTTACCTGTGTAACTACTCATTAATTTGCTCACGCACACATACTTATAAGCCATGGCAGTTCTCTCACCTACACAGGTGCGAACGCTGTCGAAGCAATAGTTCTTTGTACTATACATACATACACACAGTTACTAAGTATGCCTCAACTCACTGCGCGGTCGCTGCCTTATCAGCCACCAGACTAGAAAATTTACAGAGTACAGTGCTGTGAGTGGCGTTACCTGGCTTCTACTCTTTTTTTTATTTATTTGGTCTCAAAATATTCCCCCACGTTTGCTTTTACACCTGCGAGTGATAAAATTTGTTCTTATTTACAAACCAAAAAAAAATACAAAAGTGTTTTATTAAACTAAAATTATTCCTACTTTCATATGTAGATCGCTATTTTTTGTGAAACACTTTAAATAACAAGCGCACCATGTCGTACGGCGCCGAGAAGGCGCTTGCCTATTTGTATCCGCTGATCATTGCCACCTCTGCCATCTGCTGCATCACATCGGGCGTTGCTTGGGCCCATTGGCGTTATGTTTTGAACGCTTGTCCGGAGACGAATTGCGGCTGCATCCTCCATGGACGCACCACCTACAACAGCTTCGAGGGTGGTCATATAGCCTATTGCCACTTTGCCACATACGGTCTCATCTTTCCTCTAGTGTTCGCCACCGTGCTGGGTATTTACCATGCATATCGCATCTGTATGGGCACAACAAAACGAAAAACGGGCACAACCACCATTCGACAGAGGTGAGTGACAATCAATTTAAAGTGTTTTGAGAATATTTTTTGTTCATAAAAAAGTCAATTTTATATAGGGGAAACGGGTTTTTTTTCGAGCAATTAACTCATTCAAAGTTTTCGATTTGCTCCCAAAGTGTAGAAAAAATAGATGCATATTTTCTTCTTTCGAGAATACTACACAAAATTTTAGCACGAAATTTAAACACAATATCAGGCATAATACATATAACGAGTAATTCTGCATCATTTGCTACTTACATATAATACGCTAAACACTTTCGAAACGTTTTAGCGCCATTTCAATTTCATATTCATTTACGCCGCCTTGGGAATTTACACACCTTGTAACGGTTCATGTGCACCAGAACTCTACTCTCAAAAAAAAAAAACAAAAAATCACAAGATTAATTCGATATCGGATAAACCAAAACATGATAACTTGGTACACTGAGGGCCCAGTGACTGAACAGGGTACTGAGGTGGATGTAGTTGGACCGACGCTAAGATACTCGGAACCCATGGGAAACCATATGTCAATTTTCCAAGCTGAAACATACGCCATAGAAAGATCTGCAGACTTTAATATCAGTCGAAACTACCGGAATCAGAACATTGCCATCTTGACTGACAGCCAAGCGCATATCAAGGCCCTCAAATCTCATTAGATAACATCTAAACTGGTGTTAGCCGTGCAAAAAGTCTGTTAGAATGCATTTTTAGATCTTACTATATTTTCTTTTTTAAAAGCTGGCCCTAAAGGATATAAGGAAGCATTGATATTCGAGTGTCTACGAAAGGATGTGTTTCCAAATCATCGGAAGTGAACTAAAGCTGCAGAGTTAAATTTGTACTGAGTCATCTTTATTCTATGTATGTAAATGTTGCCCTTCTAATAGATACCAAATCAAAAGATCTAAAGTTTTTGTTAATTTCACACAAACAAAGTTTGTTTTTTGATGACTATGGCTAAGTGATTAGAAAAGCAAACTACCTGGGTTCGATCCCTGCCCCAAGAAGATCTAAATTAGAAAACATGTTTTTCTAACAGCCTCCGCTCTTCGACAGGCAATGGCAAACCTCCGAGGGTACTTCTGCTATGTAAAAACAGCTTCTCATAAAAATACAATCGCCGTTTAGAGTAGGCGTAAAACTGTAGGTCCGTCCCTCCCCTTTGTGTGACAAACATCAAGGCGCAAGCCACAAATCTGAGGATAAGCTCGGTCAAACACTAACATATTTTGTGAGCGCCAGTCTATTATTATTAATCCTATATTTACGGGACTCCGAACCGGACTCTGGAACCGACATTTTAAGTACTAAACGGTGACATATTTGTTTTCATAGTGGTATAGCAAATTTTGGCAACAAAAGTTTTCGTAGGGCATTTTAACCCATTAACTTGTACCAGGGCGGGTCTTTCTGACCTTTATTTTGAAAAATCCAAGTTAGAGGTTTAAAATTTTTCTCAAAAATTATAAACAAAAATTTCACTAGAGGTCCCCGAATATGTAAACATAAATTCATAATATTTCACTTAGCGTAATTGAATGTATGAAGTAAAACTACTTTGCGGTCGGTTGGTGTAAACACAAACATCGGTGGGACATAAAAGCCACAGCATCGTTGGGCTCTAATTCCAGACTCCAATAGAAGCGATTAATCCACAGAAGAAGGGCGGAGATGGCGGGTTAGATTAAGATTAACACTTTGGTTGAAATTGAGATTAATATTAAGATTAAGAATGAGGCAAAAATTAAGACAATAATTGTTAACGCAACACCGAAATTTATGAACTACTTTTCGAGGGCGTCTTCGCGACTAGTTTTGACTTTCGAGGCACGTGAAAAGCATTGGAAAAGTTTCGATGTTTCGGGGTTTTCGAGCCAATTTTAAGTTTAAAGGAATCCCGCAAGAGCTTTTGTTTCTACCAAAAAATTTCGCCTTTTGATTGCCCCTTTCTCTTGTCGTATTCGATTCTAAAATCAAGGCACCGAAAATGTTGTGTTTGTATCTTAAAGTGGCATATTCTCCGCCTTTTGAACCTCTATCAGTGGGAAGGTTGCCCTGAAAATCGGATGATTGCTTAAAACGACAATATTTAGTCTGTTCCAATAGCAGTCCGGTTTACAGGATTTAGTC